GGCGGGCCCGGGGGGGCGGCTGCAGCCGCGCCTACAGGGGGGCTGGGGGGGGGGGGTCACCTGCTCACAGTGCAGCAAGTGGGAGATGCTGCCAGGCTGGGCCAGGGGGTTTTAAATCACAGCCAACAGCTTCCCAAAATACCCACTGGATGCAAGAAGGGAGGAGGGAGCCAGCCCCAAGCACCCAGCCAAGGGTAAGAGGGGCAAAGCCCCTGCCTCAAGAGGTGGGGTGCAGGGAGGAAAAGGAGGGACGAGGGCAGGGAACTAGGTGCTGGGCAACAGCACCAGGGCACAGCTCAGGCCAGGGTGGCACAAGGGCACAGCAGGTAGCCCAGCCTGGCACTTGCCCTGCAGCAACACAGAGGGTGCAATGGGGACAGGCCACATAGCGCAGCTGTAAGAGGCAGCTGCTGAGCCAGGGCTGCCCGGCTCCAGCCTGGCCACCAAAGGGGTGCTGGCAGCAGGGAAGGGAGCGTGCCTCTCCCCTTTCACGCTCGCACCCCAGCAGCTATTTTAGGGTGCTGGAGAGAAGCCGAGGAGCAATGAGATTATCACCAAGGAGACTGGAGAAACACAGACCGAGCTGCAGGCACTGGGGGGCTACAAGGAGAGAAGGGCTTTCTGCAAGCCCAAGTGCCTCAGGAGCTGTACTCAGCACCTCACCTGGCACCGACCCAGAGCAACCCCTTCCCCTGAGGGGGGCTGCCCAGCCTGGGGAAGACGACATGCAGCTTTAGGGGATAAAACCTGCTGCACAGGCCAGCTGGGAGCACCTGAGAGCCTGGCATTTCCCCCTAGCGCAGGGAGGGATTTACACACCAGGGAAGAGAGAGGAGCTCTCCAAGCGCCTCTCTCAGCCCCAGGCTGAGCTCATTCATCCCCAAACCCAGGCTTTGAAGTGCAGAGGCCCAGGAGCTGGGACTAAAGCCTCCTCCAGCCGTGGGGACGCCTGCGGGAGCAGAGCACGCAGCACATACCTCTCGCAGCACTGGCTCTCATTGTGCTGCCCAAGCCTGTGCCTGCCTCAGCCCATATAGCCCTGGCAGGAGAAGGAAAAGCCCCGGATCAAGCCCAGCCTGGGGCTGAGAAACCAGTCCTGGCCAAGCTGTGCAGACCTTGGTTAAGCACCTCTGGCAGAAGCAGACTGGCACTGGGACACAAGGCAGACTCCAGAGCAAAGCTGCAACACCAGGAGCTGCTCCCTTACCTAAGGGGAGAGTCAGGCTACAGCCATGTTTACCCGAGCCCTGGGCTGGGGCGGGATGGAGGAGCCCTCACTGACTATGGGGAAGGGCTAAGAGGTGGCACAAACCTTGCCTGCACCTGAGCCTGACAGAGCATGGGGGAAGCAGAGCTGCCCTCTGTACCCAAATGCATCAGGAAAATGCAACAAGGTCAAGTCCATGAGAGCAGCGGAGAGTGCTAAACTTTAATGGAGATCTTCGAGAAACAAAGGGAAAACAGATCAGAGCCCACAACAGCAGCACCAGCCTGCGGCCCCTGTGCACACACTGCAGGATTACCCAGAAAAGCCAAGAGCTTTGAGAGGATGCCCCCTTCCTGGCAGCTGTACTGGCCCCACTACACACAGTAGGCCGCACTAGAATTTGCGGCTTCTCTTTGCAGGCAAGCAGTGGTGACGCATAAGCCTGAGGCTTTCTCCAGGCTCCGAGGCTGGGGGAGGGCAGCAGGGAAGGATCTTGGCACAGGCTTTCTGAAAAGATAAAACAGGTCAGTTAAAAGTCTCAAACCCCACTCCTCCCAGAGGAGCTGAGCAGTGGCAGGGGAACTGGGGTAGCTTTTTTCTCCTGGGGCTACCGGTCTCTCCCCTGGGGCCAGGCTGCACTGAGGCCAGAGAAGATTCAGCTCTGCTGGGCTCCTAGCAGCTAAGGACTAGTGCAGGGTGACACAGGCAAGCAAGGGCTCAGCCCATGCTGGTTGCGAAAGGGAAGGCCGGGCTGACTCCAAGCTCAGCCAGCTCCCACGCAGCAGAGAAGCTGCCACCACATCAGGCTTTAACAAAAGCCTAAGACAAAGGCCAGACAAATCAGACTTCCCCAGGCTTTGCCATTTGGAGATTTCTTTTGTTTTAAAAATCTGAAGCTGAACAGCTCTCCCCTTTGCCTAGTAAAACATCCCTCTCTAAAAACATCCCACAAGCAAGTGGGCAGTGCAAGGGGCTCCCACAGTCCTTGGTCTCTGGAGCCAGCTCCTCTCTCTTCCTTTGAGGTAGGTTCAGGTGTCCCCAAGGAGGGACAGTGGCTGCCTAATCACATCACCAGGGTAGTGTCTGAGAGGCAGCCAGCAGGTTTCTGGCCAGCTCCACCAGTGCACTTGTTGAGAGGTAAACTTTGTGTAGGGCTGGGCTCCAGGCTTCTTGCGGGGTCCTCATCTTCTCTTGAAGGGAGGAGTTTGCTGCAAGAGAAAGGAGACCCCATGCTGCTTAGGAACAATGAAAAAGGATCAAAGGGGGCTTGGTAGAACACTCGTCTGTGATACCATCACATATAGCCTCAGAAAACAAGGCTGCCGGGCTCCCCTACTCCATCCCTCTCCCAGGCAGCACCAATCACCCCAACAGACACCCAAGACAGTGGAGAGGACATTAGGGCAAGAGTTGGCTGCACATAAAGCCAACTGCATACTGTCCCAGGCACAAGGGCAGGGATCCCTGTCCCTTTAACACCAGACACCAGTGGTGTGCCTGTCCCACTGGCCCAGACAGCTGCCTGCACAGAGATGGAGGACGGGGGTTCATCCGAGTGAACCAGCAGTGCCTATTTTGCAGTCCAGCTTTGCTCAGGGAAGCTGGCACAGTGTAGCAGCCCAGGAGGCCTCCCAGTGAGGGAGGCTCTCCCAGCCCCACGTTAGGGGACAGACCTCATGAGAGCCTCCACTCACTGCTGGCCATGCCAGAGCCCACAGAGGTGGTACAAGTCCCCCTGGGGAACATCTCTTCTCCGTGTCCTCCCCACGACAGCTGCTCTCCAAACATCACCCAGCCCAGCCATTTTCCCCTCGAGCCTCACTGCCATCAGAGCTGGACACACAGTGCCATGGAGACATGTCCAGTCCTGTAGACACTTCATCAACCCTACCACTTGGCTATACAGAAAGCCAAGGCTGACCCCATAAGCCAACCTGTTCCTCTCCTCCTAAACAAAGCTGCTTTCCTTGGTGCCCATTCTCTCTCATAACACCAGTCCTAAAGTTACACTGCAAACATCACACATATCACAGCCAGTGCAAACTCACCCCAGTCTGCCCAGTTCCAGTTTGCTGAAACCATTTGATTGAATGTTGCTTTTCTGGAGGAAGAAAGACTTTGGCAATGACCACTGCAGGAGGAGATAAAGACAATCAAGCGGCTACCCAGGTTGCTGATATATGGCAAAATTCCTCGCCCTGCTGTGCTCCAAGCAGGCTGGGCTCTGCTATAGGCTGCCCTAGTGCTTTTGAGTTTAAACTGCCCTCACACCGCCATGCATCATCACTGCCACCAGTCTGTTCCCAGAATAGCAAACAGAGCAGTCTTTGCACTCTGCTTAATGAGTCCCCCTGTTGCATGCATCTTGAGGTCAAAAGAGTGGGTTTCTTTCACTGCATGAGCCTGTTTTAAGGCACAGGAGTGACAGAAAGATTGTTCTCTCAGAGGGAAACATAGGGCTGACAAGATGCCAAATATCTGGGGCTGTGCCCAGCGCACCCAAGGATATTCAGATGCAAACGATTTGCAGATCTAATTTATCGAGTGGACTTCGCATTAGAGGAAGATAAAGAAGTGTGGGTTTTCCCAGATTCTTGGAGGCCCTGGCACATAGGGAAGAACAGCACAAACACAGGTAGGGCAGGAGTGACAGGAAATGAAACAAGCACAAAAACACATCTGAATCACAGCAACCCAGAGAGCTACAGGCCCTCCCTGCCTGCCCTCGAGCCAGGAACCTCCAGGGCAGAAAGGCATCCGAAACAGGAAGCTTGTGCTTCCTGCCCCCCCACCTTAACAGACTTCAGAGCAGGCAAAGAACCACCTCTCTCTAGCTCACCCACAGCCAAACTCACCATCTGGGCCAAATCTGTCCCTCCCCCAGTGTGGTAGCCTTTGACACACCAGTTCCTCAATAGCTCCAGACCTGGAAAGTGAGGAAACAGACAAGAAACAAGAATGAAGGACAAAATCTGAGGAGAGCCGAGTCCTCCCAGCCTGGGGCACACAAAAACATTGCACAGGAGGGAACCGACTGGGCGGCATGTGCTATGTCGTAACTACTTGAACACGTGGCCTGGGACCCAGAAAACACAGGGTAAATTAAGGGCATTCACCTTTTGTACGAGCAAACACTACTGAGCGTCAGCACGTGGTCTGCTGTGGTGCCTGTCTGGCTCCCAAAGAGCCAGCCACACTGTGCAGCAGGCTCAGCTACACAGGGAAACTGGGGCAACACAGGATTTGCCAGTTTAGACCAGACTGGCCGTCCCTCTGAGCTCGATGGCTGCCAACAGCAGCACTGATTTGGGCTGCACTGGAGGAATTTTCTACAACGCAAATGTAGAGCAGCTTCACTGTCATCGGCCTCTTTCCTAGAGGACAGCACCTCCGGTACCCTCCCCTCCCTGCACTTACGAACTGCAGCATCTCAGTACGCTCTCTCCTCCCTGCACTTGATCCATCCAGGCCACGTGAACATGCACAGGTCTCAATATGGCCTGGGCAGTCTGGGCTGAGACCTGGTCTCCGTTCCTAGCAAAGGGTAAGGTTGGCACAGATCGACTTTACTGACAGTGCACACAGATGCCCAGGTTGCACGGCTGAAGGGATTGTCCCTCAAGACTGTCTCTGCACACAAGATGCGCTGCTCCAGAGCACGTGGAGGTCACCTTGAGGCATAGCCATCTGTCTAGCCGCACCGAACAGGATCCGTTTCCTCCAAGGCCCCTTCTGCCTCCTGCTAGCTGCCTCCAGTACAACCAAGCTCCCTGCCATCTACTAACTGGAAGATCTTGAGAAACACAGGACTGCTGCTTTCCCTTTTTCTTTTCCAAGATCCTTTTAAAGCCACAGCACAAGCTAAGTTGCCTTGAGATTTAAGAACCAGCCAGGAACTTGATGCTGTCCAGCTGGGGTTACCGTGGTTTTGCTATACGATACCAACCCTGGCTATAGGGGGAATCCTTGTTGTTCAGTTAAACTTCCTTTTCGGCCTTTCAGCAAGCCCAGGACCTTGGAAAAAAAACCACATCTTGGGGGCTGAGTGGAGCAGGGCAGCCCTACCCCAGCTCTATGCATCAGACAGTGTTTTGCACCTTGCTAGCCAGGGAGAAATGACGACTATATGGAACATGTGAATGGAAAGCAGACAGAGGAAGACTGGGCTTTATTCAGAGGTGAAAAGCAGCAGCAGGATGGAGCAACTCTGCTTTCCAGGCTACAGCACTGAACCAGGTTCCCAGCTTTAGCAGCAAAGCTCAGGGCAGCACTTTAATGAAGATAAGCTCTTTCCTCCAGCTGACAGGAGAGGATCCAGCAAAGGTATTAGCGAGATGAAGGACAGACACATACTGACAGTGCAGCTGGAGAGGGCCATGAGGTTACTATCTCTCTGTGAGATACGGTTACTGACCCCTTTCATATTTGCTTAAGCACCAGTGAGAAGTGACAGAAGCGTTTTTTCACTCTGCTTTAAAGTCAGGCTAGGAGTACCCACACGGCTGGCTCAGAAGAGAGCCAGCACCTTCAGAAACCTTTCCATCTAGATCAGATGTGTGACAGAGAGCCCTAACCTACAGTCTCCTTCTTTTCAGGTTCTCTTATACCTCACACGAGGCTTCTGCTAGCTCTTTCTCCCAAAATAGCCTCTCCAGCTGCCCCAATAGAGACAATCCTGAGCAAGAAGGAATTATTCTGGCCCAGCTAAGCCTCATTAAAGGACTGTTCTTACTGAATCAGAGCTGTCCAGGAGAGGTGGAAGCAACAGTTAAATTTCTGCTGCTTAGGAAAAACTCCCCTTTCTCCTTTGTGCACACAGACACGTTTTCATAGACTAGAAAGCAGCAGGAGACCAGGCAACAGGCCCAATTTCCCTTTACAAAACGCCTTTAAGGAACAAAGCCAATGACTCCAGCATTTTCTCCCTTTAAAGAGGGCAGAGGGACACAATAAGGGCCAGATTTACAGGTTCAAGGCAGAACTCAGCCTGCTTCAGGTAGGGACCAGGAAAGTCTGGAACACCGGCAAGTGCTGGGTATACCAGGGCAGTCAGCACCTGTGATCAACTCAGAACAAGCTTTGCCTCACGTCTGAAGCAGTTTGGGAGCAGAACACGTTTCCTAAAGCTAGCGTAGTTCAGCACAGTTCACAAGTCTCCCATGACTGCAGGCAGGCAGCCAGTCTAACTCAGGTAACCATGCCAGGCTTTCAGTTACCTTTGTGTTTATTCAAGTAGTATTTGAGCTCCCACTGGGTCGCCAGAATGTTGAAGTAACGAGGCTGCTCAAAGAAGCGCAGGTAGCGCATGGAGATGTGGGTGGGGAACACCCGCTCAAACTGCCCGCGCCGAGAATACTCGTCTTCTATCTCCACCAGGATGCGAACATCATCTGGGGTCAGGAAGTCCAGGACAGAAGAATAAAAATCCTGCAGACAAGAGCAGCCCAGGGTCAAAAGAAGTGAACTATACTTTGCCAGTCCCCCTTCGCACCTCCTAAATCTCCAGACCCTTTCAGGCAGAAATCTTTGTGTGCCTGGGACCTCTGGGACACAGACAACTTAGGGAGAATAAAGAAATCTAGGCTCAGTGGTGACATCCAGGCTGCACAGAGCTGAGGGGATCCCCAGCTCTGCAGCCCTACCTCTTACAGGCACCGTCAGCTTGCACGCAAGACAAGCGTCCCTGCTACCTTGCACAGGGTCAGCAGGTAAATGCTATGAGAGTTGTGCAGCATCATATAGAGAAACAGGCGGCGCTCAGACCCCGTTTGGGGAATAACGGGTAACACGCCCCTCAGCCTAGGTCTAATTCAATGCAAAGAGAAGCCAGAGCAGCAGCGGTTTAAGCAAACCTGTCTTATTTCTGACCATGTGTCTTGTGACTCACTGGAGCCCAAATGGTCCCCATCATCTGGCTGTCCCCAAAGTGGGGCACAATCTGGAAAGGAGCAAGGAATATACATGTGGGACCAGCTGGGACAGTGGCTTGGCAGGGTGATGCAAGTATCAGAGGAGATGGTATCATACCTGGTCAGGTACCTTCTGTGTCAAGTAATATGCTCTCTTCATCTTCTCTGCTGTGAAAAGCTCAGAGGCTGGCTTGGGCTTCTGCTTCACAGCACTGACCAGACTGAGGACATAAGAAGAGCCAATAGAGTATTTACTCAGACAAGGCAGAGTCCCACCTTGGCAGGGCCATTCCCAGCAACTTCTGGGTGAGCACTGACACCCTCAGGAAGATGCTGGGGGAACAGAACATTTTCTCCACGGATTTTGTTAAGTCTGAGGTCAGCGAAGCATCCGCAGCCTTGTGCCTCAGCACAGGATCCAGGGAGGATGCAGACAGGGGAAAAGACAGGGCCCTATCAGCCCCTCACTAAAGCACTACAACATTCCTTCATCCAAAAGGTGAAGGATCACCTCGTACCCAGGTAGGGGACAGAAAGGCCAAAGATGCACCATGAACTGATATGGAGCACTTGAAGCTTGGCAGGATCTCAGGTTTACATCTCCCCTGGAACACAGCTTTCTAACCTTAAATACAGGCCTCAATTCAGTACTACAAAGGAGAGATCTGCTGGATCAAAAATTTCCTCTTGCCACATCCAAGAACTCACATTCAGCTCCAGCTCCGCATGCCATGGAAAATTCTGGCCTTTCGTAAGATCTGACCAGCAACTATCTAAACTATTCTAAGCACTCAACTGAACCATTCTGGGATGCCAGAGTCTGGGAGATACTTGTCCAATACCTTTTAACACTTGTATCCATACAAGTTGTTTAGCTTATGTGATAATAGTAGTGTACAGATCAAAACAGTGAAAGCAGATCCCCAAGACTGAGCTGCATGGTGCTCTAGAAGGACACCAAAATCTACTAGAATTACACCCGTATGCAAAAAAATAAATAAAAAAAAATCCCTTCAGAGTCTTCATATCCTTCCTAGGACAGGAGATACAGTTAAGTACGCTTGTCCTGGATACAGGAACGCCAGTAACGTATGATCTGAACCATGTTAAGGACCTGATTAATCCCCAGCAGGTCCCTACTAGGACACCTGCCCTTCAGCACCTCTGTCGCAAGCTGCAAACAAGCGTGTGATCAAAGCGCCGCAGATGAGCTGGCGAGAACTCCCTGAGCTGGAACAGGCCCGCGCTTGAGGCTTCTCCCTTTGCTGAGGGCACTGGGCAGGCACATGGCGAGAATCCCATCTGCCTACATGTCCATATGTCACCACGTGCTGATGCTCACCTCAACAAGCAGCCCATTTAGCGAGCCACAGTCAGCAGCCACCCTACTGCAAGGAAAGGAACTGTTTCTCACCCCCCGCCTCCCCCCCAACACACTGCTGTCAGTTCTGAAACCAGTAACAGCCCAAGCTGTGAATACAGAAACACAGAAGCAACGGGGACCTTCCAGCAGTGCCTGGGTGGACAGTGCTCAGGAGCGAGTCTCATGCAAGAAAGTCACGTTTGCTGCAAGTCAGACTTTACACACCCATACCCGTGGGTCTACAGCCTCTGGCACCCACAGTCCTGCCTAAGGAACAAGGACCTCCGTCCTTTGCAAAATAACAGCGGCTCAACTTGCTCAAGAAGGCAGCCCTGGGGGATGGGATAAGTGGATTCAGCCCCAATACAGCCAGCCCTCTGACCAGACAGAGACACAGTGCAGCTCAGCATCATATTAGTTCTGGCAGGGGGAAGGAGGAGAAGGCATGACATAAATAACTGCAGAGCAAGCACAAATGGCATTGGCCTCTCTTCCAATTATGGACTCACAGATCTGGCACAATCCTCCTACCTTGAAGAGACTGCAGGAACCAGATACCCAGGCAATGATGCAAGCAAGTCCCTCAGACCCATAGCTAAAGTTCCAGCAATCACAGGCCCTCCGCAGCACAGAAACCAGCATTTACCGTGCTGAAAGTAACCCCCCCAAATGAAACCTCCAAAAGAAAAGCCCACCTTGCCCTGCTGCCCTGACAGAGAAGTGGGCTGACCTGGGGGTGGAGTTGCTTCCAGTTCCTGGCCTTGAGGCTACGTTGTCCATGCTGGGCAGAACGAAGCCAGCGAGGTTGAGGAGGTCCCGGATCATCTGGCCCTTGATGCTCACGTCCAGAGGGGAGTTTGAGTGAAGGCTGCAGGAGGGAAGGATCACAGTGTGCTAGAGTGGAGCAGCTGAACCCCACAGCACTGAGATCACTCCGCGGGTTAATACCAACCAGGTACAAAACTCAACGTGTCCCTCACCTCATGACAGACATTACAGCCATGAGACAGTCAGAGAAATCCTGAAATGGCTCTTTGTATGGGGCCTCCCTACAGGAAACGTTTCATTTCTCTCCCTCCTCCCAGAGGGTTACTGGAAATCAACAAATCCAGCTCCAGAGCCCTGTCTGGGATCACAGCTCTGTGTCCGCTTCATGCCCATCCACCTGCGCAGGTGGGAGAGGCTACGCTCGCATACGCTTCAGCTCCCAGCCCTGCCTGTGAAACAGACTGGTGCACAAGGCATTGGAGCCACTGATCGCTTCTGCCTACGAAAAGAAGAAATCTCTGCCATCATCCATTTGCTACATGACGCATCCCTCCTTAGTGTTCCTTTTTAATGGACTCTTCCTTCGCTTTAACTGGAATGTGCCCAATGAAGGTTTCTGAGCTGTGGAATGATGCTGCTTTTGCAGCAGGGAGGACTTTGGCTCCTGCAGTCTTCAGGAGGAGGCTTCAAAGCCCAGAGTCTTTCAGCACGTGGCGCAGGGGACATCACAGGCCAAATTCACTTTGTCATAAAAGGAAAAGCCATTATTCACCCTGCTCTGGCTCAGAGATAAGACTTCAGAGCAGGAACTGCTTTACCTGGGGGAAATGTTGACCTCTAAGATCCAGGGCTTGAGATTTTCGTCCAGCATGATATCAAACCCAAACAGCTCATGGCAACAATACGGGCGCCGCACATACATCTTCACCAGGCTGTTCACATAGGGCTCAGATCTGCAAGCCAAGGAAAAAAGCTTTTTTCCAACTGTCAGACAACAGAGGTCCGAGTGTTTACAGTACATTTCTGGCTCTGAGAGCATATGTGGCCACTTGCTGTGGGATGGGCTGAGAGGCCAATGCAAGCAGTGAGAGCTACTGCTGCATCGTATATGGATACGGTGTCAGATCCTGAGCATCCCCACCTGCAGCTGTCCGCAGCCTCTGGCTGCAGGATCCACCTCTGAACACAAAATTCTTCCAGCATCAGGGAACCCTTCCTCTCCGGTGCCCTGCCCAAGCAGAGGAGCAGGAGGCAAGCTAGGCAGAGGTGCCAGGTACTCTGCACCCTCCTAGCCTCCCCCCTTGCACTGCAGGCAGATCCAGGACATCTAAAGGGCAAAGCAGCTTCTCAGCTGTTGATGCAGAAAAGGTCCCATCTCACAGAGCAAACACACACCCACAGACCATTCAGCACTGGCAGAGCAAGACAAGCCCAACACAGCTAGATCAGGCTGTCCAAAGCTCCATCTAGAGCCAGGATCTTGACTCATTTCTATTTACCCCTCGCAGCTACTGCAGCATGAGCTTAACAAACAGAACGAACGGAAGAATCTAGAGAGAAATACTGAAGCTGAGACAGGGCTGGACAGTCAGAGGTGCCAGGGTGCACGCTGCAGCTAGGCAAAGGGCAAGAGGTGCCAGGACTCACGCAATGATGGTTTTAATTACGATGTCTTTAATCTTCTCCCAGATGGCCTCACTATTAACTCCCTTCTGGGTCAGGTAACTCCAGAGTGCTTTGAGAGCCCTGGGAGAGAGAAAGCAAAGGAGAAAGTTTTGTAGCCCCTTGCTGCCTAGCACAGCACCGCTACAGGAGCAAAAACAGAGCGAGTCTTGACAAAACTCTCCCTGACAGCAAGCGAGGGTGCATCTCCCACATTTTCTGAGCGCAGCCATCCTTCTGCCAATCCCCAAGCCACTCAACTCCTGGCTGCTGCCCTCCCCATCCTGGCCCCTGACCTTGCAGAACCCAGCCACCAGAAACATAAATCTGTCCTAGACTTGTCCCAGCATTGGAGTATCAGGTCCCAAATTAGCACAAGCAGAGTAGGTCAGATTTGCTCTTCCCCCACCCTCCGTGTCCTCAGCAAACCTCCCCTATCTTTTATCTAGAGCCATTTCACTGAAGTTTGGGGGAAGGCAGAGGGAGGAAAAGAAACAAAATCAGGAGAAAATGATGGTGGGGGGGAGCGTCTCTGCTCTCATAGGAGTTTCCCACACCACACCAAGTGCTGCAAGCTGCCCTGACACTGAGCCAAGGATGCTCAGATGTTGATCAAATGAGACTGTGAGACTAACAGCCAGGAATCCAAAGGTCATACTTCCTGCAAAGAAGATGGGAGTTGATTACAGCCACTCATCTTTAACGCGGGAGCAGCCAGCTTTGACTTGGCTGATGATACTGAAAATCCAGACAATCCCACCCCCATGAGATTTCAGGTGGCAGCGGACAGCAGACCCTTCCCAATGTCTCAGTGGAGGAACAGACAACTGCACAGCAAGTCCAAGCTATTGAAAGCAAGGCTACTACAGCAAACTACCTTCTGCAGCCCCCTTTGAAGTGAAGTAGTCCAGCCACAGGTCCATGAATTGAGAACTCTATCCCATACTATTTTTAAAAGAGCTCAAACACCACCACAGAATCAGGGATAAGTGCCTGAGGATTTGGGCCAGTCTGCCAACGGACAGCAGGGAACAGAACCCCTGCAAGACTGCAGCCCTCTTCTGAAGTAACTAGAAATAGCACTGTTGCTCCTCAGTGCTCTGTACCATTCACACCAACTAGCACGCAAATTCTCAGTTCTGTACCAGAACTGCCCCTTTCTCTTAGGGAAATCACGGGCAAAATGGTAAGAAGCTCCCATCTAGCCAGCTGATGTATTAGAACTGTCAATTAAAGTTCTAGTAGGTTAAACCACATTCCATCAACCCCCAACTAGGGCAAGAGAACGAATGCACACAGATGAGAGCAGAGTTTGAATCAGAGAACAATACAGGCATAGGCAGGGTGGGATGCAACCAAAATAGTAACGGACAGGATGAATTACAAGGCAGGGAGAAGCCAGAGCAGTCTCCAGGGTAAGCCACAGAAGCGGCAGCTTCCTCAAGGTGATCTGGCCTGCGGCAAGGAACACAGGGGTCAGGGTGCCTGCTGATCCATTGCAGTCATGCATGGGAGGTGCTGGTCTCCTGGCAGGTAAAGCAGGTAACTTCTGGCAGATTACCAGCAGGTAACGCTGACAGTAACAGCCACTGAGCCGGGAACATCTCTAGTGAGCCATAGGTGGAATCTAGATTCTACTGATGCTAACCTATGCAGAAGTCAATCTGCCTCCCCCTGCAGGAGCAGACAATACTGGAAGCACCTTCAGCCTTTGGACAGGAGTGCTGAAGAAGCAGCTGACTTAACAGTGACAAGAAGAGTTGCCCCTGTGCCCTGCTGAAAGCCCCTGCAGCACCTACCATTTGTGTCCCTGACAAGCAGTCTCATCCGAGTTGGACTTGTACTCTGTATTCTTCTTGTTCACACTGTAGTTGGTCAAGTGCATGAACTTGTTGCTGAGGCTCTTCATTGAGGAGGAGTACCTGGAAGAGATGAGAGGAGCACAAGCAGTCTGAGCTTGAACTGGTTGCCCTAAGGCCCACAGGGCAGGCAGAATCTCTGTTCTCATCTAGATGCTACCTCCCTTCTCGACCACCCACAAGCCTCACTGCCTTGCAGCCTTTCCCAGGGTTCCTGCAGCAAGGTGCTCCTCCACAGCCTCTATCCCCACTGGCCCAGGGCTGATGGGACAAAGCGGGAAGTGTATGCATGGAGCACATTGCCTTGGGGCAGAGGGATGAACCTCCCCTCCCCCTCATAGCAGGTCTTTAAGAAAAGACCAAAACACCAGTGAGCAAAAGTGCTGACAGAACTGCAACAGCCCCAGACAATATATTTTATTAAGTCAATGGCCAACACTGGAAGAAATATCCCAGTTTCTGGTATACCAGCATGAAGAACAGACAGCATATTTCAAGAATTGCTTTACACTGAGCTGATCTCGCTTTGGGCAAGGTGGATAAATTAAGCATCCTCTCACCTTCCTTTTCAACGCTACCACCCGAAATAGTACCTCATGTCTCCAAACTGCTTTCTCAGCAAGGAAGCTAGAGCTCCACATATGGGGTGACTGTCTCCTGCCCCAACCTAGGCTGGTAGCACAGCAACACAGGGGCCAGCACTGAGCAGCTCTCCTGCTGCCTAGCACTGCTCTCCCCTCGCAACTTACTTGCAGCTAGCAAAGCGAACCAATCCATCCTTGAACAGGTAGACCCTGAGGGGATCATAGCAAGTGACATAAACATATATCCTCAGGTCAAACTTGCTCCCGCCAATGAGGTAGGGTTTGTGCAGATACCTGCAAATGGAAGCAGGCAGCAGGAAAGCGTTACCATTTCTCTGTGCAGGAACATCTCCAGCCCCTACAGCAGAAGGCTTGGCACAAGCAGCAAATCGATTCAGAGCGCAGATGAAGCCCTTTTGTACAGTGTTTCCAAGTTAAGAGCATCACAGTCCAAATGAAAGAGACACAAGCTTTCCCATATTCGGGGAGACCCTGTGCCACGTGAACAGTATTCCTTCCTGCCCAGTCCCATGCTGAAGAGATTTTTTTCCAGGTCTGAGGCACAGAAGTTTTTCTGCATCAACAAGACTGACTACAAAACTCAGAAACATCTAAGATATGCAGTGAGCCACAAACTCCCAGATGGCCTGGTTTAGTGAGCAGAAACAGCTGGAAATATTCACCCAAATCATTTGATTACTCACCCCCCTCCCCAACCCAAAAGTAGTTCATGATTTTCCACAGGAAAAATCTTCCACTTACATGGGAAGGGGACAGAGAGAACAGACAAACCAACACAGGAACTCCCAGTCTGCCTAACACCGGGCAGTTTTTCCCTGCCCTTACAAAATGAGCTACCTCACTTTTCTGCAAAAGGGGAAGGAGATTCTGAAAATCTTATTCAGGAAGACAATAAAACCTTTGACCAATGTCCACACACATGCAGGCTCTTACTGTCCAGTTCTAATTTGGGAATTCTCAAAGACTTGTTCTTGCCCATCTCTTCCCCTGGGGCTTCTGCTTCCAGAGTGACTGCAGGCACTGGAGAAAGTTCACTTGCCTCCAAAGATACCAAAACCCAGAATAAAAAGCAGTGGGATAAGGATCAGAGCACAGCTGAAGTTGGATCATCTGCCAGACAGAAGCTGCTCCCAAAAGCCTGTGAAGCTAGCCTAAGAGCAGTTTTGTTCATGAGACCTCTAAAGTCTACGCAGAAAATAGCCGCTCTCCCCTAACTCCAGTTGCAGCTGATGGAGCCAGACCTCTGACAGCAGTGTTGTTATGCCCAGGCAATAGAGAAATTTCCAGAAGTAAATCAGATCTTGCTGCCCAGATCTGGCCAGAGAGAGATGAGCTACCAGAAGATCCCAGCCTGGCTGCCCACCCTGCTTTCTTTCACTCACCTCTGCACCAGCAGCGGTCTCCTTTTGGGGAGCTGGCTCCATTTGTGGATGACCTGGATGCCAATGCCTCTCGCTGACGCCGGCTGCGAGACACAAACAAGAGGGGAATCACATGCTCTCTCTACAGCTGCATCGGGACAGGGGACTAAACTCTGCTTTGCTCTTACTGGTTTCACAATCCATTTCTGGCGGCTTGCTCCCTCCTCCCATGCCTTCCTCAGCAGCTTTATGTCCTGGGGCAGGATGAAGGACTGGGGGAAAAAGTTAAACTCCTTCTTCCCATAGCGAGTCTGCATCTTCAACAGGTTGCGCCACAGACGGTCCTTTCTCCCAATTTGAAATGAACCAGGGAAGTGGTTTAGCTGAAAAGGAACAGAGGTCCTATGAGATCTCCCCACCTATCCCCATTTCCTTGTTCCCCCCTTGCTGCCCCACAGCCAGGACATATATCCTCTGTGAAACCACCTGCCCAGGGCAGGGTAACACTCCTCCTTGATCCTCTCTCATGAGGGCAGGACCCACCACGTCTTGAAGCTTTGCAGTGACAAACACCCACAAGGTGCCCCATGCTGGCTAGCAGCCAGCAGCTGCAGCCTGGTCACCTCTCATGGCTGATCAGCACCTGGGCGCTAACCCTCAGCCTTTCAGCTTCCTTTGGATCCAGGCTTTTGCAGTATCCTCTACCACAGTAGTTTGCCTGCTTGCTTCTAACCTGGGTGCCAGAGCTATGTCCAGCTCCATGCATCACAAATACCATGGGCAGAAAGATGCCATACTAAGACAGGGCTGGAGGCTGCTAGCTTCCAACCCTGGATGATGCCTCAAGACTATTCAGTTTGGACCATCACTTCTCCAGGATGAACGTGCATGCGCGATACATAACCAACCCCTGGACCCTCAGGTGTTCCCCAAACATGTGCCACCCCACACTTTTTGTGCCCTGAGTTACACACCCAGCCTCTGGCTCTGACTGTGCTGGTGGAGAGGGCATTCGCCCCACCTGGTCATTACTGCTCAGTTTTGCTAGAGGAAGGACTGCTTTAGGCAATGTTAACTGGATTTAGTTGAGCTCACAGGTGAACACAGCTTGACTACAGCCTCAGTCTACAAGAGTCTCCACACACAGGAGAAGCTCATGCTGCTCCTGGCTGTGCCTATCTGCCATATGCCCTCCCAGCATAGGAGTACCAGCTGCCATGCTGTGATGGGGGATGCTGCAAAGACAGCCTACGCAGCAAACACCTGGCACTGAAGAGAGGGGCATTCAAATTGTTCCCAACACGCTCCACATGTGTGCGAGCAAAGACAGCCCAAAACATTCCCTACCTTCTGGTGCTCCCTGATGGCTCGAAAGCTGGGTGATTTCATGTGGTGGCCCCAGCAGCCCAGCCAGTCATTGCTTTCTGCAGGAAAGATAGAAAAGTCTATGATCAAGACTGCTCCCCACAATACCTTCTCAGTCCAGGAGCAGCCCATTTCCTGGGGCTGGCAGAAGCATGCCAGGGATGCTTTGCAGTTAAAGCACAATGCAATCATATTAGTTACTGAAAAGATAATAAGCCAAGGGCTGTCATGGTGATCTAGTTTACCACTTGGGTGTTAGCCCTGCAAACATGAGTGGTGCAGGGGACTGAGCAGGCACAATGTCAAAAGAATGGTTTCAACCCCCAGCAATGTCAGCAGAGCACCCTTAACTCTGTTTTACAGCAGGTGAACGAAGCAGCAAGCTACACAGCTCTGCACAGGGAGGTGTAGGATTGCAGGACGTCCTAGTGCTTGTTCTGCCCTGCTCAACCTCCTATACACCTGCGCATTTCCCCCTCCAAAAAAAAAAAAAAAAAAAAAAAGACCAACTGAGCAGATACACACAGAAGCCCCGTAAGTACTGTTGCGAGGCCTCATGCCCTGATATGGACCCAAGCTCTGAAAACTCAGTGCTACCCTAGCCCCCTCTTTCACGTCTCTTTAGCAACAAGATCCCAACCCTGACAGAGCTCCCTAGCTACAGTCAGAGAGAAAGATCACTTCTCCCTCCACACTGGGTGACCACAGGGACAAGGGACAGCAGTGCAGGGTTGGCACCGGGCAAATGCCAGCCTCAGAGTGGCAGCACCACCTAGAGGCACAGCCCAAATAAGCCAGAGCACAGCTCTGCTTACCCACACGCCACCCTCGTTGCCCTGGGCCGGCTCTGACAGCCCTCAGTTACAGCCTTGCTGCAGATGCCAGAGAAAAGCCAAGACAGAGACTGGGCACTGCCCTTGGGGCTTGGAGACTGCACAGAGACACGGGAACCCAGTGTCCTGCAGTGACCAGCCCATACCACTCCCGTTCTGCTCTTTGCAGGCAGCCTGCTTTCCTGCACCCATGGGCTGGAAGCAACAGAGGACACGACAAATCTCATGCTGCCAACCTCCAACAACTTACTCTTGCTGACTCTGAAGTGGGACCTGCTAATGGTTTGCTTCACTATGTTTGGTGTGACTGTGCTCATTTTCCATCGCAGCAGCTTCCTCTGCTCCCAGGGCAGCTTTTCCACTAGGGAGGCAAAGAGTCAAGGACAGAAGGAAAACAAACACAACACCCTGATGTTTCTATAGCTTCACTCATCCTGAACACATGCATGAGCATTTGTAGGCCACAGGACACAGCAGAAGCTCCAGCCAAGGATCAGGCACCAGAAACGGCACATGCATGTTCCTGCTAGAAACCTGGGACCTGCTGTCACCCAGAGCAATTCCCATGTTTTGGTACAAGAATCATGAACCACTCAGGCCTGAAGGGAAGCACAGGCCTTCAGAGGGCAGTATGTAACCCCCTTAACAGAACTGGAATGGAGAAGACTACACCACAACTGGGAGAAATCCAGGGTCTTGAACCATTCATTCACGCCCCACCCAATGCTGCTGCAAATGCTGTTCTTGGCCATACCTGTCTCTCAGAAGCCTCGCTCACGCTCCAAGCTGAGCGGCCACCATCATTTTACTCTGCCCTTTGGTTTCGCAGTGGTGCTGCATCTCATCATGGAAGGGGTGAAGGGGAGCTGTCAGCTCCTGGTTGCGCACTGGCACTGCTGTTTGCTATTTACATTTATTCCCACTGCAAGGAAACAGATCCCAGCTCACCTCTCTCATTCCGAGTACTGAAGTAGATGGTTGGAGGCACATTAGGGAATAAACTGCAGACAAGAGCTGGTTTGAGCATCTGCTCCTGAGCCTCAGCTGGTGGGGTCAGGCACTTGATGCAGTTCCTAGGAGAGAAGAAGCAATAGGCAGTTGGTTACAAGGCGAGAAGCAGAACGGGTAACAAGCACAGAGCCAGGCCCAGTGCTTAGTACCATCCCCTGGAGCACTTGCATGTACAGTCACGCAGGGGCCGCTTTATGTCCCAGCATCCAGAAACTCACATACGTGCTCAGAAACCGAAGGCAGAAAGCTGCTGCGGAGGCTTCAAGCTCAGCCCAGCCCGCACAAGAGATGTGGGAGAGTCCAGCCCTCCTCACTGCAGAAGGCATTTAGCCAAAATGCTGCTTCCCCACATCTGCCGCAGTAGATACCTTGGGAGGCTGACTAGCCAGGCCTCACCAGAAGCAGATGCTGTTCCAATTTATGCTGTCTCGGCAGGCCATGCAGCATCCTGAGATTTGACATTTGCTCATAGCAAGCCTTAACTCGCTTGGAAGATGGGTATGACACAATGGAAGGCAAGAAGTTGTTGAGCAAAGAGCAAGCCCAAGGTGGCCCTGGTGTACCAATAAGACAGTTGCAAGGACCAACTCTTACTGCTGGATGGGCAAGAACAGCTCCCCCAAAGGTCCGTCAGGAGTCACAGAGGCAGGCCCCTGATGACCCCTTCACAGCCCCTCCTGACGACAAATCCTCCCCAGAGAAACCCCTTTCTAAAGGCTAAAGAAAAATCCAGGCTCCAGGACTTATTTCTAGGATGCAAAGCTGAGACACAAGACCCCGGGGGTGATCGCGATCTCTGTCCCAGGATGTCTCTACTCCAATTCATCTGCAAGGCAATGACACTGCAAGATTCCAATTTAATTCAGTAAACCTAACCCAGGGACTGGCAGTTGTAGTGAAATCGAGATCCCTGTTTTGCTGTGGTGGAGGCACCCACAGTATTTTGCAGGCTGCTGTCTGCAGAAAGAGAGGTAAGCTTTGGTTTCCAGGGGAGTAAAAAAGTTCATTTTGGTTGGGAAGCCTGATTCTTTATTCACTCCACTCCCTTGCGTGCTACAGCTGCCCTCTGTCATCGGGGATGGCAAAGATGAACAAATTTGAACAAAGATGCCAAGCTGCAGTGCACAAATTACAGCTACTAACCTGGAAATTAGAGCCACAGAGCCATTAGGCGACAGACCAGCAACAGAGGAAGCGTCCGACTCACCTGCAGGAGGGGAAAGACTCAGGTTTGGTCTCCTTGGGGAGTGAATGCATACAGTTAATTAGGGAAGAGAGGAAGACAATGTTCCTGGAGACAGACCCTTTACAGCTGCCCCAAATCCTTGATCCCGAGTCTCACCCACATCTTGGTGGCATAAGACGCAGGGCAGAGGGTGGAGTTGGCAGCACTGCACACAGAGGAGGTGGGCAAGTATCAGAGCAGGATAATAGAAAACTCTAGTCTGTTCCCCACTGGAGTCTGGATAACTCCTCCCTGTGCTGCACACAAAAGCAATTTAGCAGGAATCTCCCGGTCATCCCAAAATGATGGCAGGAACGCAAGACAGGGTGTCATTTCCAGCTTTCCCAGCAAGGCAAAAGCACTGCTGCCCCAAAGCACAGCCCCCGGAGAGTGCAGGAGGGCAGCTGTGCTCACACCTCGCTCCCAGATTTCCCTGCACTTCCCCGCCACGAGGAGGCACGGAGCACAGCCCCTCGGAGAATCAGCACTCACTGTCGTCTTCTTCCTCCTCCTGACTGCAGTTCTCACCCAAGCCATCAGGAAGTTCTTCCTCTGCACCCTCCTCGGGACGGCTCAGCTCCAGCGGCAACTGCCCAGCAGCGACACTGGGACAAAGAACATTTCACTTAGAGGCAGCGGCCACATGTTATCCCAGGCCAAAAGACTAAGAGCCCACGATGCAGCAGGTGACAGGTGAGCAGGGGAGTGACAGCACTACCCTCCCTTGTGCTGAGGTACAAGCATTCGTCCCGAGCGCTAGTACGGCCCCTTGCAGTTGGTAAGATGTAGAGGACCCAGGTAAGATGCAAGAGAATATCTTACGGAGCAGCCAGAGG